GATTGTCTTTCAAAGTGCTGTAAATTCTAACCTATGTTTAATTGTGGCAGAAAAAAGAGATCTACAAAGGAAACTGTACCTGTGTTATTTCTTTCTTCTGAAAGAATCTTCACTTATCGCTTTACCAATACCTCACATTCTTCTCTGTTACAGCAGCTGAAAACTGAAGTAGCAGTTTCAGTGCTCCTAGCTCTCAGTCTAGAAAACAAATAATTTAATAAATAGTCCCCTGAATATTTATTAAATGCCATAAAGATACAGAAAGGAGACAAGCCTGTTTCTTCCTCCCTCTTCTTGGCCTTTAGGATACTGTTCCTCTTTAAGAAGCTGTTAGAGACAGCTGTCTAGAGGCAATCTGGTTTTTATTATAAACATGGAGCCTCTCTCCCCTCCCACACCCAACAGGAAAAACATGTCTTGGGTCTTCCAGTAAGATAATTTAAAAGATTCTAGCTAAGTGATAGAGCTTGTAGTTTTGTGCTGCCTACACTGGGGGCCTTTGATAAGAGCCACACCTGCTTGGCATCACTGCCATCAGCTGCACAAAACGAGAGCCCTAAAATACCTGGGTGTTTTCTGTGCTGAAACTAATCTGCTCTGGAAGAGGTCTCTGGCTTGGGAAGGCTGTGGGAGGAATATTCCTGCTGCTCACTTAATGCATCTAGCTGAGGTCAAACTAAGAGGACAGAAGTTAGGACTCCAGGCTGCACCTGTAGTTAATGGAGAGGTATTTTCAGGGGCAGTTAATTCAGGGCATTTAAAACAGCAGTGCATAATTTTCTGTTGGAGTTTCCATTCACAGTTAGCAGCAATGGACTGAGGTTAAAAGTAGCATGGGGGATGGAGGGGTTAGGCAGACCAAGAAAAACTTCATACTAACATAGTTTCAACATGGCAGCATCTGTTACAGTTTTATGTCATTTCTTTGGATACAAAGGCAGCTTAAAAAGTTTCCTCTGGTGCCTGCTGGTATTCAGCTCTTACAGAGAGGGCTTTTTCCTGTCTCCCGTAGGTCTCTCCATCCATGTTTTGTAACAGCTTGTGGGACCCTGCACCAAATTAGATTACTTAAATGACTGGGGTTTTGTTGGGAGCTGCTTTTTTTGTTTAGAAACAACAAGGGTTGTGGAGTGTTTGTTTGTGTTTGCCCTGAACATCTCAAGGATCTGGTTTGGCTAAACCCACAAACCATGGCACAGCTGGGCAGGAAGAGGAGCAGACTGCAGCGCCGGCATCTATCTGCTTGCGCCTGAAACCCTTTCCAACTCTGCTGTTAAAGAAAATACAGAGGGACTTCACAAACACCCTGAACCACCCTGATAAATAATGACCTGCTTTTGCATAGCTGGATTTCTGGATTATTGAATAAACCATGGCTGGCAGTAAGTCGAACATGTTCGTTTTGGACTTACAAAGAAAATTATAGTTTCAGCTTTTGGGTCCCTGAATTCGCCATGTTGTTTGCAGTACTGGATTAAAAGACAGGTTTGGATATGAACTTTTTTCTTTTTAAAAAAAAAATAGATGTAACTACCTGTTATATGTAGTCTTGTCTCTCAAAACTGTATCCAAACAATGTGATAGGGAAAGGTGTAGGAAAAAAGTACCTAATTTAAAATGTTTAATATCCCTTGCCCTCTGTGAAGGATTAGGTATCTCTTTTACTCAGTACTTATTCCTGTACTGACCCGGACATTCCTGACTTTCTTCAGTAACTTTCTCTGATTAGCGTGACCTGGATAAAGCTGCATAATTCTCTCCCTTGTTCTAGAAAAGTTAAAAGACCAGAAGGAAACAAGACCTTTGCAGACCAACCATTCATCTATCTCATTCTGAAACATGGGGAGGACTTCAGATCCCCTTGCGATCGCCTCAGCCACTGAGCCCAGGCTTGCTAGGAGAATTTAGTTTTACTGTAGCAATTCCTGAATTAGTTTTATCACGTCGATAGTAAAGCTTTTCTTTTTGCACTTCATTATTCTTTAATCTTATGTCTGTTTCTTACTCGAGGTGTTGTTTTCTTTTTCTTTTTCCCCTTTCCTCCTGCAGTCAGATGTACACTGCAAATGGCACAGACAGTGCCTCCTATTGTGGCTCAGGCTCAAGACTTCACATATGTAAAATGTGACTTGCAGCACTTTCTTTGAAGCCTAACCACAGCCAGGGAGCTGTAATTGCAGTCTTTGATTTGTGCCGACTTCACTTGTGGATTGGGCTTTGCTAGGGCATGCCTTGCCTGGCGAGACTTCAGCTGCAGCCCCCCAGTGAAGCCTTAGATGTGGGAAGTCTTCAGTCTCCTTAGCACATGCCTGTGGTTTCTTGAAAAGAATCCTGATTTGACCTGTTTTATATCTGTAAGGCAACACCATCATCACTCGTATTTTTTAGGTATTATTTGGTTTATCAGCAGTAGAAGCTATTTCCAGCGTGTAGCCTTAATGTGCAGCAGGGGAAAGGCTGGGTTCTAGATGCTGTTTTCAGGATAGCTGCTCTATAATTTGCTGTGCTGCTTGGAAATAAAAATACGTGGGGCTTCCTTGTGCCTGTCCCCTTCCAGAATCACTGTGGTGTCTGCAGCCTCTCTAGAAGAGCTGGGCATAGTTAGGAGCTATGGAAAGGAGGCAGGGGCTGCAAAAGCTGCCTCTGGATTGAGAAAGAAGCAATGGCTGCTGTTGGAAAAAGCTGAGGGCCAGAGCAAGGCCACGGTCGTTATTTTAACCTCCTGACTTCAAAGACAGCTTGCTGGTAAGGGAAGGGGGGAGGAGGCAGGGAACCATCTCAACAGAAGAGCATTTCATTTCCTTCAGTGAAGTAGACATTCCTGGCTGCTAATGGGGAGTAGCTCTGAATCACAGCGCTTGTATCAGACTGCTGTGAACTACTGGCCTGGCGCCTCAAGGCCATTCCTCAACAGGAAACTGAATGTTTTCATGTAAGACTGAGAGGAAAACCTTCCCAGGAAGAGCAACCTGGACCAAACCTTTGAAAATCTGGGATGAAAAGGCACAAAATAAATATAAAGCTGCAGGGTGCTCTCCCCAGTGTTGCTCTGCTGTTTGCTTGGCCTCTCTTTCGTGCTCCTTGGAAAGGTAGAGCCCTTCGTAGCTCTTTGATCCGCACGTGTTACGGAGCACTGCGCTACTTTATAAAAAATAAAAAAAAGGCAGGAAGCTCAGGAGGCTTTTTTTAGTTGGGACATGGGCTGGTTTTATGAGGAAAGAGGAATTGAATTAGTCAATACAGACCACCTCTGTAGAAACTGCTGGTTTGCCAGTGGACTTTTAGCTGTGCTGTTTAAGAGGCCTCAGTGGCTTTAAATGTCCTTCTGTGGCTACCAGCAGCAGGTGTAAGTTATTCCTGATGTATCAGGGATGGCACTATGTGGGCAACCAGGAAGTCTGCATCAAATTTAAGCTACACAGAGCAGTTTGCTATCAATTCATGCTGGTCTCTTCTACCTTAGTCTGCAGCTAAACTTAGGTGTCCTCAGCTTTCCTTTCTGCTGTAACAATAGCCACATGGGTGATCTCTGATAAGGAGTCAGCTTGTTCAATAAGATTTTGGAACCTCAGCTTATGCTGATTAAAATCAAAGGGTACAAGATCTTTTAGATTTTCTACCCTGGACTACATGAGGCAGTGTAACTCCTTACTCAGGAGCTGCCACACTACTCAGCCACTATGAGTGACACTTTGTATGGCGATGGTTTACATGGAAGCTGCAGCGGATGGGAGGTGGGAGCCTAGTTCTAAATGGCCCTGGTTTAAATACTGCTGAAATGTAATGTAAAATTTGCTGATTAATTCAGCTTGTGGCTCTTGCAGGCTTAAGCAATCTAACTATCATGATTCGTCTAAAAGAAGTTTGACTTGTGGTTTAAACCATTTCTTCATAAACTTGTTCTGTCTTGCCATGCGTGACTCAAGGTGCTGGCAGCGTATCTTTATGTGACTAAGCATTTTGTGTTTCTTCTGGTGAAAATTCGTTTATCTTCTCCACGGAACTGCATTCTTGTGCTAATTTTGATCACTCTCAAAAGCTTTGCTCATTGAACCTTCTATTTGTTAGGCAATTGAGTAGTACATGGAGACCTAGTGGTTAATGTTGATTTTTCTGAGATACCAGTAATCCCCAAACAGTTACTGGAGACTCTGTGTCCATGTGTGGAAAAATGTCTGACTTGTTAGAGAGATTTTGGGTGGAGATCCTGTTGTAACCCACTTGTCTGGATCAGAATGGCAAGGGTTGAGTTGAGTTGGCAATTTCATAAATCAGCTGATGTAACCCAGAGACCTAGGCTGTTCCCCTCTGGATGAGCAATTCCTATTAGGCCTGTACTGTGGGCCATTTGACATGCTCTAAGAATATAAATCCTTCCAAGATCTAGTGAACTTTACTGCTAGGGAGGAGACCCATGGTTCTTACACAGCTGGAAGATGTTCCCTGCCCCACTGAAGAGCAGAACAAATCCTCCCCAGTCATGAGGATGGATGGTAGAATCAGTGTTCACACAAGCCTCATCCACCACATTCCTCTACCAAACTGCTTGCAGAAGACAGCATTTTTTCATGTCTGCAGGGAGCAGAGCTTGAGGCTCTGAAATAGAGGTTTAATTGACCTCAACCACTGCACTGCAGTACTGAAGCCCGAGGATGTCTTAATTTTGTAATGGTATCTGTGTCAAATGTTGTAGATAAATGAAATCCACTACTAAAGGGAAGAAATTCTGTAATATGCTGGATGTTTAAAACCCCACCTTTCTAGTTGGTATCTCTTTGCAATGCAAAGTACTTTCCATAAATATAGTTGCAAACTTCAAGCAAAAGCAAGTAGTAATAAATTCTGCATTTAACTTTGACATTGTAATGCACATTCTACTAATAGAGCTGTAAGAGTTGCAGTGACCCATCACCAGCTTGTTTGAAGAATTTTCTTTTTAAAAGGCTTCAGATAGTCTTTATCACACTCTCTCTCTCTTTTTTCTCCCCCCTTCCCTGTAGGTGGGAAAAGAAATGCTTTCTCAACTTGCAAAGGAAAGGCGGCGACACCAGGACCCCTTCTGGAGATGGAAGCTTGTTAAACCCTAGGTGTGTCCTTCATCCACACAGACCACCCCCAAGGAGTCTGTCTAGGATGTCATTCACCCTGATGTCACTGCTAGAGACACTGAATCATAAAGACAATCACTGCCAAAATCCTTCACTATCACGAGGTCCAGCCCCGATATAAATAGAGCAAATGAGCTCCTGGGTCAGCAGAGCAGCTTTTGTCTTCACCTCTGCCTTGCACTCTTAAGCCCCTGTCTCATCTGTGTCCATATTGAGTCAGCAAACACAGTAGCATGGCTGTCTGTGCCTGCTTCAGCCAGCAGAATTATGTAGACCACAGCTGCCCCATACAGCACATCGAGGGATGGAATTTGCCTGGACCAGGATGACGCGCTCAACCTTCTTTTTATTTAATGGTGCGACAGGATCAATTTTGGTTTTAGCTTTTTTTAAGAAACTTGAATGCTTTTATATTTTAACTTTTAGTTTGTAATTTCTTTGGTGTATATTTTACTAGGTATGAGCTTAAACAAGTGTCAGAAATCTGAAATACTTTTTAAATAAAAGGAGTTTCTTCTTTTTTTTTTTTTTTCTGCCAGAGGAAAAATCTGTATGGAAAAAAGGTGGCTGTTTTGTTAAACTATTTGTAACAAATAGTGGCCTCTCAGTCTATATAATACAGTGTCCTATAGAACTAAATAAATGTAACAACAGTCAGCTGGTCAGTAGACATGTTAGTCTTGCATCATCTACTCTGTAAACATAAGCAATACATCCAGCAAATCTGACTGCAGTGAGTTCTCCTTCTCACCCATTCCCCTTCTCCTTGTAAAAAGCCCAGCACTTGAATTATTACTTCAATTGTTCTGTATTTGTATCTGTTTTTGTTAGCCTGTTAGTGGGATTTTATGCCAGTTGTTGAAATGAGCATTGATGTACCCATTTTTTAAAATAGTAAGGCACAGCCTTTGCCAAAAATACTGTCAACCAATTTTTTTTTGTCATTCCAGTTTGAGTTAATGTGCTGAGCATTTGTTTTTTAATAAAAGCTTTGTAATAAAATTAAAGTTAACTGTCTTTAAAATTGGCTTTAAAAAAAAAAAAAAAAAAGCCAAACCAAGAATGGGTTTTGCTAGAATCCCTCAAAGACAGAAGCAAACTCAGGAAGGCACAGTCACTTGTGATGCTGAAGACTTTTGGCTCAGTCTTCTGTTGTAGGAAGTACAATGTATCTGTTTGGCTGTTTGCTCACCTGAAGTGATTTTGGAAAATGAGTTTTTCTTTGTGAAGTGAAGTCTCAGTTCCATACCATGAATAAGAAATGAGGAGGGTCAATGGTCCCTTGTGCTGCTCAGGTAGCTTTGGCTTAAGTGGAAGTATTAAGGATCCCTCCATCATCATTTTTCTAGCAAAATCTTAAGGAAGGAGCAGTGGTTTTAAGCTGATGCTTACAAATATGAATTTGCTTTTCTGGATGCGCTCCATGCCCACACAAGAGGTAGAGGCCTACAGTTAAATTTCTTGTAGCTGTATAAATTATCCCACAGCCAGGGACTGAAGCTGGCTGCAGAATCAGCTGTGCAAGGCCTGGTTTCATGGTCTGAGATCCAGAGTCAGCATGGCCTGCCTACTGCCAGAGGTGCCTGGGAGATGTTCCTGCCATAGCAAGCAGCACAGCTGCCTCACTTCTACTAAGGGATATAAGAAAAAACCAGACACTGGAGCCATAGATGGAACTACTGCACCTATTTGTGAGTGGAAAAGAAATATTATGAACTGTACATTGAATCAGCATTCTTTATATTCCAGCTCTCAAATCTTGTTTGGTGTGAGAATGGACTGAGTCAAGCTTAAGCTACAAGAAATTACTTAGGTCAGTTACTGCCTAAGGAAGCTTTGGAATTGGATTGTTTATAAATGACCCTTTAACTCAGTTGCATAAGAAATTTCATAATTAAAAATGTTATAAAACAACTTCCTCTTAAACCAGTGTGCACTGCACACATGCCCAGTTTTAAGGCTGTAACCAGACTATTAGTTCTTGCAATATTTATTTCTAGCAACTGGTGATTATGTTAAAAAAAAAAAAAAAAAAAAAAAGAAAAACAAGTGACCAGGCTCTCAAATGGCAGGAGAAAATATCTCTTGAGAGAATAGCAACCGTATACTGGAGTTTTGCAAGACTTGGCTATGTCTCCATTCAATTATCCCAGCCTTTGCTGGAAACCTGTCTGGCTTTTGGTTTGGGGTTTGGTTTTGTTTTTTAAAGGGGAAAAAAGGCAAGCACTTAGTGCTGTAATTGTTCTAAATCAAGGATTACTGCAGCAAGATCTGCAAATTACATGTTCCAAAGACAACAGTTCTCTTTAGAACTTTATAAAACATGACTACTTTGTTTAGATTTTGTAATGGCTATTTAAAGAGCCATTTATCCATTCTGAAAAAAATTGTTCCCAATGGAAGTGTCAGCTTCATGTAGCACATTGTCCCCAATACACTGTTGTGAACAGTTGCCTGCCTTAAGGATGAAAGGTATTTCAGCTCTAATAGTGAAGAAAAAGAATTTGGGAGCTAAAAATAATACCTCTGCTGTTAACATACAGTGAACAAGCACCATGTGTTGGGCTCATTCATAGATCAAAGACCTTTCACATACAGCAGCTATGGGAAAGGTTAACTAATATGCAAGGCTTAGCATGCTGCCATGAGAGCACCTGAAACAGAGTAACCCTGCTATCCTGGAATATCCCTGTGACTTGGGTCTGTCTCCACTCCTGCCCTCCCCTGCTACTTGGCATTTGTTCCTGTGGGACTGAAAGAGCCCTCACTGTACTGTGCCAGCTTGTCAGTGGAGACAGATGAGCTAGTAAAGATGGCCAAGTGATGATGGTGCTACCCTGGCAGTAAGACTAGGTTTAAATCCTTGTGATATGGAACAAATTATTCCTGATGAGACTCAAAACCAGCACCTAAATTCCTGATGCGCAATTTAGGCAGACATCAGAATCTAACCTTGCCTCTTTTGGGTGCCTGAGGAGATGATTATCATGTATTTCCCACAGAAAACATCTTCAAGGATTTACATGCTCCTACCTAATGGCTGATTTAATTATCCAGACACTTCTGTACAAGCATTCACAAACCACTCTCTGCCCCCACACTTGGTTCTGTGCATGTACTAAAAGCAGTTCTTGCACGGATCACAGCATGTGTAGTCTAGTTCATAAACACAGAGCTATCCCAGTACCTAGGAAACACACAGCCTTCCCCCTCCCCTCACCAAAAACAGTACATACACAACAGGGGAGTTGAGCTAGAATTATTTACAGATAATCAGGACAACATCACAGGATGGTCTGGCTCCTCAGGCTTCTGGATTGCCTGGACCAGAGCCATTTTCCCTGTGTTACGTAAAAGAACAATGCTTCAGCTAACTTTGGCTTCTTATGCAGCAAGTGATGACAGATTCACTAGTTGTGCTTATAGGGACTCACCAGCTCTACTTAATTATCATCTGTTGTAGTTTCCACTTTGGATTAGGCAACAGAAAAAGCAAGTTTGATGAAAAACTAAGTTTGAAAAACTTAGTTTGATGGCTGGGTCAATTTGCAGAAAATGTACGACCTTAAGGGCCCAATCCTGGCTCTAGAACATCAGAATCCACAGCATCAGTTGTCTGCACTCCCTTAAAACCACTGCAGTGCACAAGCCTTTGAAGCAACCATTGTGTTTCCTGGTGGCCTCCTGCTCTGATCTACGTGGCAGCTAATCAGGCTAAAGCAAGACTGGCAGAAAATGAAGGACACTACTGAGACTTAAGAAATGCCCTGTAACCTCTCCCATAAGGCAGCTGCAGTTTTTTCCCTTCATCTGCAAGGGGACTAACAAGCAAGGAAGCCTTTCCTTCAGAACAAGGACCTAGCACAAATTAGAACTTTAGAGGGAAAATAAGTAAGTCCATAAATAGCTATGAATACCTTTCTCCTAAGTCAGGTCAGTGAAAAACTACTGGACTAAAAAGGAAGCCAGCCAAAAGGAGAAGCTGTAACAGGAAAATTGTTGGCTATAAACACATTCCAAGATGAAACCAAAAACCTAGAAAGTATACCCAAACACATTCATTTCTCCATGAGACATCAGGAAGAGAAACTCTGGATTAATGTACGAATTTACCCTTTGAGTCTCCTCACAGATATGAAGCTCAGGTTTAGAAATCCAAGCAAGCAAATGGGCATCTGCCCAGGAAAAGGAACATATGTGCCAGAAATAGGGGAAATAATCACCAGTTTTTGGCTGGGTCAAAACAAGGACTGAAATACTGCTCCCCATCCTCCCAGATAAGCAGTCATACCTTCAGGCCATGGATTTTAAATGATGGCTTCTCTTTGGACACTCCTGCAACAACCATGCCTCCACTGAATCACAGATGTCTGCTTGGCTGAGATAACAGTCACTGCATACCTGGTCTGGGAACCTTAGAAAACCAAGGTTTTCTTCTTGTGCTGTTCTACAAATCACATTTTGATAAACTCAACCATCCCACCTTCCAGAAACCCAACAAATACAAATAAGCAACAGGTTCATTAACCTGTCAGCTATGGAAAATCAGCATAAACCAGCAGAGGCAGGAGAAAAATTTCTGCTTCATACTAGAAGAGCAACTCTCCCAAGAAGTAGTCTGTACTGTTCACTGCGCTGAGAAAAGGTAACTGACAGAAAATCTTCAGCAGAATAAGAAAAATAACATACTCCAAAATTTAATGATGGTCAGAAGAGTTATTTGGACAGGCCATTGTTTGAATTTGTACAAATTTCCTACAGCTAAGAAAAGTAGCTTAAAAAGTCCTACAGGATATCTGTTTGGCTGAGTTAGGACATCTCTGTCTTTTAAGACAAAGAAAAAGCCACAGAAACACGGACTCAGATCTTGACAAAGCAGAATGCTATAGAAGGATTAGTTCTTCTTGGCACCTGCCTGTGAAAGCAAAGTGCTGGGTGACAAAAGAGGAGACAGCACACAGCACAATATGGCAGTGACTACATCCCCGGACTGAGAAAAGCCCAAGATGGACAAGATTCTCACATTCTAGTTGTTGCCTTTGCTATCCTGAAATATGTTTCCTTTTTACTCTTCTCTGTGAAATGTTTAATTTTGTCATGATTAACATCAGCAGCAACAACTTCTTTCATTTTACATTCTCTTAATGCTAAATTAATGGTAGTAATCATATTTGCAAACAAATCATGTGACAGAACAGCCACTGCTTTTTTCCTGTAAAGACCTGATAGCCTCAAACTGTACTCAACTTTTTATGACAATAACCTGAAAGAATTCACAATCAAAACATCCTCATCTAATAACCCTCAAGAAATTTAACCATGAATGGTTTTAGCCACTGTTCGAAAATTCAAATTTTACAAGGCAGATTTCACGTATGGTCAAAGTTTCCCTTTGAGTGAGACTGGTATAAATGCATGACCCAGAAATCAAACCACTCACAGCACTTAGTTAATCACTGGACAGTCTAATTCTGCCTATACTGATACTC